GGGCTCCCTCTCCGGGGGGCGGGGGTGGGGGGCCGGCTCCGCGCAGCGGGGGGAGTTTCGCTGTGGCCCCGGGATCCTGCTGCAGCGCTTCCTTGTGTCGTTAAGGTTGGAGGAGCTGTTGGGTCACCAGCTCCGATGCCGGGCTCCCTCTCCGGGGGGCGGGGGTGGGGGGCCGGCTCCGCGCAGCGGGGGGAGTTTCGCTGTGGCCCCGGGATCCTGCTGCAGCGCTTCCTTGTGTCGTTAAGGTTGGAGGAGCTGTTGGGTCACCAGCTCCGCGGGGCCGCTCCTTCTACGTGCCGCTCCTGCACCGCGAAGGGGAGGCTTCTTGGCCGGGGCGCTGCAGGGAGCCTCTCCTTCCCACGGCGCCGTGGCTCCCTCTAGGAGTCTGGGCCCTGGAGTACAAGTCTTAAAAACCCGGCATTTGGGCCGGGACGTCTGGGCTGGGAGGGGTCCTTTGGGTGGCGTTTGGGCCGGGGCCCTGGCTCCGCAGCGGCAGAGCCTCTGCTTGCCAATCCCCCCCATCCCCAGTTGAAAAGCAGGAGGGGAGGTGAAAGACCCTTTTCTGCCTGAGACCCGGGAGAGCCGCCGCCCGTCTGAGCAGCCAAGGCTGATCCTGGTAGGCCAAGGGGGGGTCTGATTCTGTAGAAGGCAGCTCCATGCGTTCGTGGGGGTGTGCACTTTGGTGAGGGGCTGTGGCTCAGCGGGGTCCCAGGCGCCATCCCTGGCAGCATCTCCTGCTTAAAAGGGTCAGGCAGTGGGTGAGGTGCTGCTAAGGGACGGACCGAGGGACCAATCCAGTCCAAGCTGGCTTCACGTGTCTAGCAAGATGGGCCAGGCCCTTGTGGATCAGGCGCAACGCTCTGGCTGCAGTGCAGGGGCACCTTCTTAAGTCTCTCCCTGGTGCTGGTGATGGCTCCGAGCATGCTGAGCTCTCCCTCCCGACCACCTGATGCAGCCAATCTGTGTCTTTTAGGCGCCCGATGATGAAATGGCCTCTGCAGGTGTGCCAGGAGAGAAGTCTCTGCTTACTGTAAAAGGTGAGCCCTCTGCTCAAGGGGTAGTCCTCTGGGCCTCTGGATTATGCCTCCCCCCCCCCCCCAACCACGTTGCCACAGGCAATGTTCCCTCTAAGCCGTGGAGTCTTGTGAGCAAAAATTCTGTTGAATGAGCTACTGGCATTAAAGTTGTGAGCAAGCGATTTGGCTACTGCAAAAATTAGTTGGCTCTGGAGCAATGTTCCCTCTAAGCTGCAGAGTCTTGTGAGCAAAAATTTTACTTTGTGAGCCACTGGCATTGAAGCTGTGAGCGAGCGATTTGGCTGCTGCAAAAATTAGTTTGCTCTGGAGCCGTCCTTCCTGAGCGAAGACAAAAATGTGTGAGCTAGAGGCTAAAAAACAGTGAGCTAGCTCACACCAACTCAGCTTAGAGGGAACACTGCTCTGGAGCCCTCCTTCCTGAGCGAAGACAAATATATGTGAGCCAGAGGCTAAAAAACTGTGAGCTAGCTCACACTAACTCCACTTAGAGGGAACACTGGCCACAGGTTCAGTGTACAGGAGCCCACTTCGCTTTGGTTTCAGTCAAGAGCAGCCGGACTCTGGGTTGCTGTCCAAGGTATCCCCACCCTCTCCCACCCTGCTGGGCCAGAGGAAGAGGGAAGGCGGCCCTGTCTTCTCGCCTGTAGGAACTGCCCGTGGCCAGCAGGTGGCTGGCAGGTTGGAGGGGCAGTCTGTGGAAAGTGAAGAGGCGGGCTGCCCCTTCTGCCATTTGCCATTTTGTTGGGCAGGGGAGGCACGGGGTGCCAGCTGACTCTGGGTACCTTCAGCCCACGCTGAATGGGGGTCGTTTTGGCGTCTGTGTCGGAAGCAGAAGCAGGCCTCTCCTCGGCCACCTTCTGCTCCTTCCCATTTTGTTGGGCAGGGGAGGCACGGGGTGCCAGCTGTCTGCCCCTGACTCTGGGTACCTTCAGCCCCGGCTGAATGGGGGTCCTTTTGGCGTCTGTGTCGGAAGCAGAAGCTGGCCTCTCCTCGGCTACCTTCTGCTCCTTCTGTGGAGCTGCAGTGCAGGGAGTGGGAGTTTTGTCTTCTGGCGACCCCTCAAGAAACGCTTCAGTCACTGACAAGGACTGATTCCAGCTCGCCTGTTCTCCTCCCACCAGCCAGCATTCCCTCTGAGCTGAGTTAGTGTGAGCTAGCTCACAGTT